GGCAAACCTATTGCAGGATTTTCTGGGGCTTAGAGTATGTGACTCTCCCAAGATCACTATGTTGGTGGACCTTCATAAGGGTTAAACCCTTGTGCCAGCAGGACTGAAGACCGACAGGTTGGAAGTTCGAATCTGGGGAGAGCGCGGATGAGCTCCCTCTATCAGCTCCAGCTCCCCATGAAGGGACATGAGAGAAGCCTCCACAAGGATGTTAAAACATCAAAACATCTGGGCATCCCCTGGGCAATGTCCTTGCAGACAGCCAATTCTCTCACACCAGGAGCTACCTGCAATTTCTCAAGTCATTCCTGACACACACACACATACACACACAAACCTATGTTGGTATCCATGGTCAAGCTAGGAACTGAATGCTGGTCTCCTAATCCAACACTCAAACAACTACGTCGGGCTGCCTTTCCTCAAAGTTTATGATGCCTTTTCATTTCTATTTTCTTTTTTCCAGCCTATCTATGATTAAGTTCACCTTCTGTGTCCTTTTCTTCCTATTCTTTTTTTCCTCCTTTCTCTTTCTTTCATTCTTTTTCTTTCTGGCTTGTAATCATCTGCAAAAATGGAAAAGAAAGCCCCAACAGAGAGTGGCTTTGCTCTCTCGTAATGAGAGAGACATTATTTCCAGGCCAAAAAACATCATTAAGGCTATGGAGCGAGAGTTGTTAAGACTTAATTACATGCTCCGCAAGGAACAAGAAAATCTTATTAAAAGAACTTGGTAGTCATTAAAGAAAAACAAATCTAATTCCTCAGTTAAGGAAGAAGTTAGAAAGCCATAGCTGTTCAAAGGCAAGCTTCTATCAACTATTTTTTGAAGCTCCTCCACTATCTTCCTCAAACCCTTCCTGCATTTTCCTGCGTCTACCTGAAAAATCTCTAAGATCTGCAAAAAAATAAGTCATGTATTTCTTCCTTTTTAAAATGCCATTGATTGTAAGATACACACTAATTCCACTGCCACAAACAGAAAAAAGTCTCTCTCTCTTTCTATATATATAAAAGAGATGTTTATATAGTGGGGAAGTGAGTGAATTGAAGAAATACAGTGAATCTATATATTTGCAATGGGAATAAATTGGGAAAATGAAGCAATTTTGTACAAATCTGAAGAGTTTTTCGTTGATAACTCTTGCCAAGGACCACAAACACATAGGGAGTACCCTGAAAACTACGGAGACTGTATATTTGAGGTTGCAGGCTTTGCCAGTTGCTTTCATCCTTTGGCTGAGGACTTTATCACATGAGGTTGATAAAGCACAATTACAGCAAGGTAAAAGTGCCCATCGCTGGGGCTTATTTCACAATGTTGTCTCTGTCTGGTAGTTGCATTACACTTGAACCACAAGTGGATTCATTATCACTGTTGTTCCACCATTATTTCTTGTTGTGAAGCAGAAAGGGGTTTTGCAGTAATGCAGAATTGCTACACTGCCCAGTTACAACCAAATAAGAGAAACAACAATATGAATGTACTGGATAGAGCGAACATGGAAAGGAAGTGAGACTTGCGAATGATTGATCCTAGGTATTCACATCACTGAAGAACCACTGTAGTGTGGTATGAAGTGATTATTCCAATAGTATAATGTTTCCATTTGCTTATATAACATCATTGCTATAAGATAACATGCTGGTGTGATAAAGTCCTATGTTTGCAAAGGGAGGTGTACTTGTTAGATAGATAATGCATATTTAGCCAGTAATGCGTTGGCTCTAACTCTACAGTATTGTATACAACTGGTGGAAAATATCATTCTAATGGACATATGGTCACACACCTGCTGAAGGGTTAAGAAGATGGTGATATGTAACTGAAGGGATATGCTGAAGAAGTTGAGTCATGAACATGTGACAGTCATGATGAAGGTTGAATCATTCACTTTTGTCACTGTCTGATGACGAGCAAGCAATGGGTATAAAACAGGGTAGGAAGTGTGTGTTCTTATTCTTGTCATTATTCTCTTGCTCCTCGCCATACACCTGTTGCTGATATCTGTTACCTACATCGTGAGCATATCTCTGTATATGCCATTGACTGATAGGAGATCATGGGATCCTGATGTGTACATTTGTACATAGAGCAACATGTTAAAATTAAAAGCCTCCACTGTGAGTTTGGATGAAAACGGAATCGAAGAGTTTTCTTAAACAGTGAGCAGCATAATGTCAGGCTGTGCAGGTATACTCTGCTGACAACTGATAAGGACTCTGCTATGTATGGACTTATTTTTCTGGCTTGCCTTTGTGACAATCAGTCCATTGTACAGCACATTTGGGAAGGGCATGATTGGAAGGAGAAAACAATAAATCGTGCACCTATCCCACTTTGACAGTATTTCTGCCAGAAGAAGGATTTGCATAGCAATTGGCGTCTTTCATGTCAGCGGGCAATAAATCCAGTCCAGTTTTTATGCAGTACTCTGATTAATCTGTTTTAGGGAATAGATTCAATCTGGGTAATTCCTTTGAATTTTCAATTACAACCTTGAGCTAGAGAACTGTTTTCATTTGCAAGGAGGTTCCTAGCTGTCACTGTTGCATACCTGCATCATTTGACTTCTCAACAAAAAAGCTGAGAAGGTATTTTGAGCTATGAAGTAACAGCCAAGGTTGCTTTTGCCCATTCTTCATTTCCTGGGACAACTTTTCCTGTTAGAAAAATGCCATAGCCATGTTGCACTCCAATGAGAGGTAAGGAGAGCATAACTGCTGTGTGAAAACATAATATCATAAAGAGAGCAGGGAAAGGTGCTGGGAATACTGCTTGGCAAAGCTGCTGCAACACGATGTAACATCAGTTATGAGAAAGGACACAGCAGATAGGAAATTATGGGTAAGCAACAAAGATCCTTAGCTTTGTCTTTCTTGTTAGAGCATTACACATTATTTGGGCCAATATAAGCAGCATAGTTCAGGGAATGTTACTGTCTGGGGAGCTCTACTCTAAAACTTTCCCTAGGCTCTGGCCAAAAAACTACAGGCGAGAGCTTGGAAAAGTTACCCCTTTGACTACAATTCCTAGAAGTGTCAGAACTGGAGGTGCAGCTTTTCCAAGTTTAAATTCAAATACAGCTTTGGACATTTCAATTCTAGGAGAGCTTTATCACTTTGGATTCAATCTTTCTCAGTCTCCAGTAACGGCTCATTTCCTCAGGCTGGATTCAGCACTTGTTCTGCCCACACAGCATACAATTGGCATTCTATTGTCTGGATGGCGGATCAGGACACTTTTGCATGTTCCCATGATGCAGGATAGTGGCTACTTACCAGTATAATGTCAACTCCAGTTGCATAGCTGCTGGCGTCACGCAACTGCAATGCCTAGGTTGTTGAAAGCAGTGTTTACTGTTTCACTGCTCTCCCCTCACCCCACTTTTTCAAGACACTTCAGAACAATCTTCAGAATATAGTTTTCCAGTGAAGAGAGGCTAGAAGATGCTGCTACAGAAGTGCCTGGATTCACCATAAGCCGGGAGGTCAATGGGTACTGCATCACATTATGCAATAGCAGGTGACAGTCCTTCTTCTGTGGTGGTTTCCACCACCAGCAATAATTGCCTCAGTGTTAGGACAGAGAGCAAGTTGCAGCAGGTTATGGTGGGCATTTTCTCAACCCTTAACTTTTGAAAATTCTGTTCCTCCCTTTGTTTTATATTTCTGGCTGTGATATTGATATGATGATGATCCTGAAAAAGAGCTGATCTTGCTTCTTCAATGCTGAGAGGATGCACCATTAACTTCCTGATGTCTTGGCGCTGAAACTCTTTTCCTGTTAATGAAACCTATCTAGCAAGACTATCCTCCTGCTTGGGTGAAGACAGATGTAATGTTTTTAGACCAGCGCCCTCACTGAGTTCCATACAAGTGAATCTCTTTTTCTCTTGGAGCAATCTCTTTTTAAATACCCTCCATGTAATTCAGTTTGAACCATCATTGATATCCCTATATTCAAGCCAAGTGCAGTCTTTTAATTGCATTGTGAGTTTTAAAATGTGTGTGTGGAGGCAGCGTGGATTTCTTCATAAAATGAAGACTCTACATATGAATATGCATCATTTTTGTTTTCTAAATCAATGAAAGCAGGCAGCTCACTCAAAGGAAGAGAAAAAAAAAGAGTAATGGCTGAAACAGCACGTGAGTTGCTGGAATACTTCTTTCAATGCACCAGCTCTGTTTCACATCCTTAGTCATGTTTTAACTTGTCGGTAGCAGTTTTTCACCAGCAGAATATATACTTACACTTTCCAAATGATGTCCTAAAGCCATGGCCACTTTATCCCATAGGTTTGGAAGCCGAGGCTCAGAGCAAACAGAAGTGACTGGAAGGGTTCGGACATTTATTTATTTGTCATATTTGTACGTCATCCTTCTTACCCCAAATGGGATGTAACACCATGGTTTGCTTTGAGCCTTAAGTGATTGAGTGTCTGAGAGCTCATCTACACTGTAGAATTAATGCAGCTTGACACCATGTTAATTACCATGGCTCCATACTATGGAATCCTGGGAGTTGTAGTTTGGTGAGGCACCAAAGACTCTGTAAAACTACAACTCGTATGATTACATATCATTGAGCCATGGCAGAAGTGTTGTCGAACTGTATTAATTCTACAGCATAGATGTACTCTGAGCTTCAGGCTTACAGACGTCCTTCCCTTTCTACTCCTCCTTGTCTTGTGGAGCAATTCTTCTCCCCTTGCCTTTCGTTTTTGTTTTAGTGCAAACCACAGCCTGCTGTTTTGCCTTCAAAGGCATGAAAGGATTACATGTGCCAGAACAGGAGGGAGGGGGGCAGAGGGAAGGTGTAACTCTAAACTATCCATTGGCGTTAACCCTGACCCACTTCACTGTCTCAAGGACACACAATTTGTCTGCGGAGTAATAGAAAATTCAGCCCACGTTGGTCAAATCCTCTGTTTGATCAGCTAGCTCTCATGTCCTGTTGCTCCAATCAGAACCCAACAGTGATAGCCTTCTCACATTGCTGGGCTCATAGGACTAACATTTATTTATTTAGTATTAACATCTTTGTAAGAAAATTAAACCCACACAGCATGTTGCTCCCTGAATGCACTCGATGGAAAATTCCTCTTCCAGGGTGCCTCGTCTCACTCCTTTGCGGACGCACTGGCTTTCAGGCAGTTTCTGATTGATATCTTGGAGGTGACCTCTGCCCGGCTGCTTGCCATCTCCTCTCCTCTTTGCCTTTTCAAAACTGCAAAGAGGTTTTTGGCACCTTGAGTGCGCCCTGACCTCACTTCTGCTTTCCAAGGCCATGTTGGGAAAGGTGGTCTTCCACATAAGGAGTTATTATTAAAACACAACTAGCTGCCTTCCTTCTCCTCATTATTTTTTTTTCTGGATGGCTCCTGTAAGTAGTATGAAGTTCAATCGTTCTTTAGGCAAACTAAGGCTTTGGCATCAGCAGTGCTTTTGACCTGAACAGGAAGGTGATCTAGTGAACCTGAAAAACAAAGGGAAATGAAGAGATTATGAAGATCCACTATGAAACACAGTAGGTACTCAAAGCTAAGCCAGTTTCATATCACTTTAATTCTCATGACTTCATCCCAAGGAATCTCGATATCAGGATATCAAGGAAGCCCATCTCATGACCCAAAAACTTTAAGTACACAACCAAACCACAAGTCTCAAGATTCCTTAAGATGGAGCCACAACAGGCAATTTATGTGATTTGTTGATGTTATCATAGCATTTGCTCGCCAAGAATTTCACTATGTAACAAGATTTTGTTCCAGGGTTATTTCCTAATTGGCTCCAGCATAAAAATACGGAAGAAGTTTATCAAACTACAACACTTTGTTTTTGAAGGACACTCTGAAGCATATTTTGCTATAGTTTTTCAATAAATATCTCATAGAGTCTCAATCAATTCAACATAGTTTGTGGCAGCCACAAAAACTAAGTTTCTAGAGTGTAACAGCCACTTTCAAAGTAAATAACGCGCAATTAAACAGGAAATAACACTTTCAAACCAGGAACAGAATTTTTTCAAATGTTATTACATAGTGTTATTCAATATACAACTGCTCTTGGGCTGATATCATGTAGCTTGCTAAAGACCACATGAAACTGGTATTACTATATGTACACATATGCCCAAAATAATTTTTTCCACAGGATTTGGCATAGCTATAGCTCACTGAAAGTCTATACATACAGATCCGTGAAATAACAACAGACACAAGCAGTCACTTGCAATATTACATGTTAGCAAGCAAATCTAATAATTATTAAGGCTGGTATTTTAAAAACTTTGTTGCAAGTATTGCCCTAAATATAAAGCTGCCTACCAATATATTTTGTATATGCACTTGCTACTGTATAGGACAAAAGCATTTCTATGCAAAATTTATTACCATGTACATTTATATAGGATGGTAACCAAGGGCCCCGTTTACACTGACTACTTAATGCAATTCAAAGCTAAAGTCAAACTGTGATGGTTAGACAACAGATGCCCGTGAAAGTGCATGAAAGAAAGCGTTTAATGAACATCAGTGTTCTGATGTATGTGCATTCACCATCCCAGCTTCTAACTGGTTTCAGGATCGCCTATGTAATAATCTACACCAGTGGTTCCCAATCTTTTTTTGACCAGGGATCACTTTGACCAGGGACCACTCTACAACATCAGTACCAAAAGGGTTACGAATCAGTTTTGGGTCAACTTTAGATTTGGTTTGGTTATGTGGGGTGCTCATTCAGACAATTGCGTTGGATGGACCACATCAGCTCCAGTTTCTGATACAGAACTTATGCTATCCAGTAGTCACCATCTGCTCATCCATAGAAAACCATATTTAATAATCTAGAGCTGATGTGATCTATCCAATGCAATTTTCGGAATCAGCACTCCAAATAACCCAGGAACAGGCCAAAAAATGAAGACACCAAGAAAAAAATTGGTTGGGCTGTGTTATTATTTGGATGTCTCACAGATCTGATTTTAGGTCTTGTGGTCCACCAATGGGCTGTAGCCCACAGGTTGGGAACCACTGATCTACACAGTGAAACCATTTTTGTCAATACTGATTTGTAACAGACTTGTTAGTGTAGATGTGGCCTTGGTAAACAGGTAACAAAAGCTAGACTCCTATTAGTGACATATAATGGAGTCAACCCCAGTGACACTGTATTCGGGAGGTTTGGATGGCTCCCCCATTGTTGTGTGGCACCATGTTACGACCTTTCTATCCCAGCAAGTTTTTGGAATTGGTAGATAACAAGAGAAAGGCTTTTTACAGTGCTCTTCTGTTTTTAAACTTGTCTTTAAGTTAAATAAATAAATAGATAAATAATAAATAAATAAATAAATAAATAAAGGTTTTAATTGTACCGTTAGTTCAATGCTGTTTTAATCTCAGTTTTTAGCTATATGTCTTTTTATTATAGTTTTCTATCTTTGTGAGCTACCTTGAGCCCCAACCTGGGAGATTCAAACAAAGTGATGGGTAGATAAATAAAGCAATGGATGGATGGTGCTGGAAGTCTATCCATCTGGAAGTAACCCCTTATTTTCCTATGGTACACTTACCAGGATATGAATTTTTTAAAGGCTGTGAATTTTCCATCTGTCAATGTCACTATGATGTCAAGCATTAATCATTGCTTTTTCATTCACTTCTGAACACACTGTCACATGCAAGCCAGGGCTCAAGTTCTGGTTTCCCTAAACACAACACAAAACATGAGTCATTGCAACACAGCAAACTTTGTAGGACAGAATCTTTGCAACTTTCCATCCCTCTTGAAGGCGTTCCTATTTCTTTATAATATTTGTAAGTCATGGCAGTTTTTATATATTTAACAACACACAAATCTTTAAGTATCTACTGAAATAGAGGTCATATTGAGTTAAGTGGTGCTTCCTATCCCCATGTAAGAGGGTACAGTCTTTATCTCTTAATACGTTATGGGGGCTTATTAACAAAGGCTGCACTGTTATAAAATTAGATCCACCAGCGCTGTCTTCTGTGCAAAGATAACTGAAGGAACTAGGATGTTGTTAAAATTTTGGATTACCTTGTGGAGGAATCTGATCCAACCTCTTGTTTGCTTTCCTCTGTTGTTTCTCTGAAAGATGGAAAACAAAGGGTATCAGTTCACTCTGATGCATCTTCCAAGGCAGGAACAAGAAGCCAGAGAGCTTTCATGTGGGCTTGGTGGCAGATGGCAACCTCCACTTTATCCCACAACAAATGAGCATTAGGGCACAGCCCACAGCTCTCTGAAGCTGGGTGTGATTCATTAGTTCACTGCAACTAATTTATTTTCCCACTAATGAAGGCACAGCTACGTTACATTATGGTTCTAACTTGATGAGGGATAACTTCATTTGTTTTGCATTAGCACTGAAACTTTTTTTTAGAAATGGGAAAATTGTGAGGTACTGATTGAAAACTACACCTATGATTTATTTATTTATTTTACTTATTTCGAGCATTTGTAACCCGTCCTTCTCAACCCCGAGGGGGGACTCAAGGTGGCTTACAACGGACAATCATTAGATGCCAACAAACAATTGCAATACAAACAATTAACATTAAATAAGACAACAAGATTATAAAATACATTAAAATATTGGACATTAAAATATTAAAATGCAACCAAGGCTAACTCTGCATATCCAAATCATAGTCCAGAGTTCCAGTCCAAGATCTATTCATTGACAATTCCCATGAGTCACTGCAGTTGCTGCTCAATCAGCTGCCCAAAAGCTTGGTCCAAAAGTCAAGATTTAAGCTTTTTTCTAAAGGAGAGGAGACAGGGAGTCACTCTGATTTCACTGGGGAGTGCGTTCCATAGATGGGGGGGGACATGACTGAGAAGGCCCTGAATCTTGTCCCCACCACTCGCACTTGTAACGGAGGCAGGATCGAGAGCAGGCCCTCCCCTGACGATTGTAAACTCCGAGATGGGTCATAGAGGGAGATATATTTGGACAAGTAAACTGGGCCAGAACCGTGTAGGGCTCTATAGGTCAAGACCAACACTGTGTTTTTTTATTTATTGTGCCTCAGAACTGGAATTTTCCTCATACTCCGGTCTGAAGGTAGTGGTTGTGGGCGAGGGAGGGATGCCACATCACACTGGTTTGAGTGTTGGACTAGGACACTGGGACACCAATCTTTGAATCCCATTCAGCCATGGAAACCTAATGAGTGAACTTAGGAAAGCCACACTGTCTCAGCCTCACAGGAAGATAACAACAAACCTCTTCTGAACAACTGCCAAGAAAAAACTTGAGTTGCCATAAATCAGAAATGGCTTGAAGGCACACAACTACTACTCTAGCTGGGAATGTTGGTGGCATTGAGGCTATTATGAAGTGCCTGATGTAAAATTAGAAGTGGCTTTAAAGATAAAGGTTTCCCTTTGACATTAAGTGTAGTCATGTCCAATGCTAGGGGTTGTGCTCATCTCCATTTCTAAGCTGAAGAGCTTGTCCGTAGATGCCTCTAAGGTCATGTGGCCAGCATGACTGCATGGAGCGCCATTATCTTCCCCCAAAGCAATACCTATTGATCTACACACATTTGCATGTTTTTGAACTGCTAGGTTGGCAGAAGCTGAGGCTAACAGCGGGAGCTCACCCCTGATTCAAACCACCAACCTTTCAGTCAACAATTTCAGCAGCTCAGCAGTTTAACCTGCTGCACCACTGGGGGCTCCAAAGTGGTGCAAAATCAAAGACAGCTTGAGGTTGGCTGAGCTCTTAATAGGCTAAGCAGTCACAAGTGCAATGCTGGGGGCCCCATTTGAAATGACCTCCTTTGTGAAAGGCAGCATGGTTGGGTCCTGGACTAGAACAGGACATCCATATCTTTACTAGGGATTAGACACTCACTGGCAGACCTTGGACAGCACAGTCCTAAATTGTTAACATGTTTTTCCATGGAACATATGAAACCCTATCCTTTCCCATATAGGCGTCCAGAGGAAAAGCTAGTGCAAAGAGAGATCTTTTGGATGTATACTCTGAACTCATGTACCCCTACAGCAAAACTTTCCAAACATTTCAAGTTGGTGACACACTTTTTAGACATTTCATGACACAGCAATTAAGTTTATACAAAATTGTTTCCCTTATATATAATGGCAAAATCATGGTTTGTTTTGGAGTTTTTTAAGGTTGTCAAGCTATGGGTGTTTGAATCGGTGGATGCAGAATCCACAGACATGGAGGGCCAAGTGTAATTCATTCTTATTCTTATTATTGTGACTGCTGCTGTCATCATCACTATCCTGCCTGCCTTTTTACCAGTCAGGATTATTTTCCTCCTTTTCCTCTCATGCAAAATCTGCTGTCTTTGGCAACCACCTAAAGGTAATACTGGCCCCAAGCTGATAACAGGACGGTCTCATATCTTTTAAAAACTTAACATGTTCAAGACTCAGGAAAGCAAGGGCAACAATCTCTTGATTCAGATCAGTCAATATATGCTGAAGGTGCTAAATGCCAGAGTTTAAAAGCCAACTGAGAATGAACTGAGGCTTCATTTTCCTTATCAGTTCAAATTACTCATTGCAGGAAGAATATTTATTTTTTATCTCCAAAATGAATCTGGCCAGGAATGTGGAAAATATCTTACAGAAGACATTAGGGAATACTTAAGGCTGAATAAGCAGCAATTAACTATAAATTGTAAACAAGGAGGAGGGGCAGGAGCTAGAGTATTTTTCCCAGGTGACATTCAAGCCCATGCCCATAACTGATTTGCAAAATTGATTGATTTTGCTTGCTAGGTTGCATCCTGAAATGAAGGTGTCAGCCTGGTGAAACCTGTTGATATTTGCTTTTCTCTTGTTCATCTCTTTATATTCTTTTCGTTCAAATCTCTCCAGAATTTTTAATTTCTTATTTGAAAGAAGTAGGCATCACTTTCAAATAGTACATTGAAATTTCGCATCAGTTCTCTTATATTTGTTGTTGAGTAGCTTCAGGTCATTTCCAACTTATGCTGACTCTAAGGTGATCCTATCACAGGGTTTTCAGCACAAGCTCTATTCAGATCAGGTTTGCCATTGCCTTCCTCTAAGGCAGTGTTTCTCAACCTTCCTAATGCCTCAACTCCTTAATACACTTCCTCAGGTTGTGGTGACCCCCAACCATAAAACCCAATACACCCAAATTTAAATACTGGTGCTGTTGTGGGGGGTTTGATTTTGTCATTTGGGAGTTGTAGTAGCTGGGATTTATAGTTAACCTACAATCAAAGAGCATTCTGAACCCCTCCAACAATAGAATTGGGCCAAACTTCCCACATAGATTCCCCATGAGCAACATAAAATACTGGAAGGGCTTGGTGGGAATTGATTTTGAGTTTTGGAGTTGTAGTTCACCGACATCCAGAGAGCATGGATGTAGTTGATAGATATGGACCAAACTTGGCACAAATACTCAATATGCCCAAATAAGAACACTGGAGGAGTTATCATGATAGATGGGAAAACTGACCTTGACAATTGGAAATCGTAGTTGCTGGGATGTATAGTTCACCTACAATCAAAGAGTATTCTGAACCCCAACAACCATAGAATTGGGCCAAACTTCCCACACAGAACCCCCATGCCTTGAAGGGACTCACTGGTGTGAGCCTCTCTCCAGCCTCACCTACTCCCCCTGCTTGGAGTCTCAGAAACAGCCCTCTGCTTGGCTGAGAGGCCAGCCAATCACAGCGGAGGAGGGCTTCTGGTGGGAGGATTTGCCGTCTGTTTCCAAAAAGGAGGAGAGATCTTCAGCCTTCTTTGCCATAGGGGTTCCTAAGACCATCAGAAATATATGTTTTCTGATGGTCTTTGATGACCTCTCATGACCTTCTCCCCAGTGGTCCCGATCCCCAGGTTGAGAAACACTGCTCTAAGGATCTTATCCCATGAGACCCCCTCCCCATTTTTAAACAGTTTAAAACAATTTCTTGAATAGAAAATGTGAGAGCCCATCCCATGATGCAGGGGGACTTCCTGTCTGCGTCCATCAGGATTTGTCATATAATTGTTGAAAAAAGTGTCAAAAAAGGGAGGTGGGAGAAGATGATCAGAAATCATTTCAGGAGCCTTGGGTTCACTATATTCCATTTATCAATTGCAAAAAACACATGGAATGGGAGCCATCAGAATTGCCCACAATTATTCAAATACAATGACATTTGCAAATGGGCTGTACTGTGGGTGGTCTCTTAACAAGCAATGAGCCTCGGTACTCTGCCGTAATGCAGTTGCTCAATCCATTTTGGTAATTTTTTAAATATATAATTAAAAATAAGAAATACTGCCACTTTGTTAGATCACTAAATTTCTGATCCTTTAATGTAATCTTTTAAATTTTCAATGGTTTTTAAGAATTAAAATGGGAAAGGGCAGACAATCCACTTGCTTGTGGTATAAGGATGAAAATGGTTAGCAACGAACAATCAAATGTGATAAGCAATAAACAACAGAACATTTTTATTTGTAACACTAATGGACTAAATACCATGATTTCATGATGCTACTCTCCCCCAACGTGGGAGAAGGTCTTAAGTCTGAGAAAATGTAACTTGCTCAAGGTCACCCAGTGTGCTTCTGTGGGGATTCTAGCCCTGCTCTCCCAGTGACCTAGTCCAACACTACACTAAGCTGGCTCTCTTTTGATATTTGCTTATACACCTAGCACTTATGGTTGGTTTGTTTCATAAGTATGTTATTCATTTTGTCCTGTAGTGTCCACATGCTGATGGTATAACAAGGTTGCCCAAGGCATGATTAGGCAGGTTTTCCAAAGGTAATTTTTTTTCTGAGGGGTGGGGCTGCCCACCTGGAGGAAGAATGCTTTGAATGCAATTTTCCGGGTTTCCGCTAGAATTTTTACTAAGTTGTGCCCTGGTGCCAAAATTTGGGTAAGAACTCAGTTTAGCATTTCAGAAAATGGTCCCCTTCCATTCAGGTTCATTTGTACTCGTGTGTTTAGTTTGGTTCCCTACACAAGCTGACATCTAGGAATCCAAAAACCCATGTATACCTCCAATTTGGATTTCTAGGCTAAAAACCACTATATCTTTTGTCTTCTTTTTCAAAATGGGATGAATGTTAGA